AAAACTTTCCTATTAATTATTTTCTATCTCTTCGATTAACAAAGTTGAGACGGATAGCGAATTATCAGGAAACACCCTGCTCACAGTATCACATAAAAATTGCGATATACATCATAACAACCTAAAGCTGCCAAATAGTCAGTCAGAGCAATATTCAATTCAATTCAATATTTAGTCTATTTATGGGGGGTAACAGGGTATATTAAATATAAATCTGAACAAAACTAACCAACCATACCGTTAAATGTGTTGTTAAGGACTTGGGGAATGTTTTCTTCACAAACTTTAAGTTAATTAATAACGAGGAGCAACAATTTTGGGTGGTTATCTCACAATCTGACGGCAACCATACTAATAATCAGAAAAGAGTCAAATAAAGATATTCCAATTGCAAGAAAAATAGTAAAAAGAACAGTAATAACTAACCCTTGATACTATATTCCATTTGCAGGAGTAGTCAGGATTTTAAGTTAGTTTCATGGATAAAACTAAATGATATTTCGTTACTTATGTTGATAATAAGAGAGTATTAATAGGCATTTTTCTAAAACTACTGTTAAGGTGACAGGGAAGCACAGTTGTGTGTTATTAGTCAGAGCGATACTTGTCTCGCCATCTATAGTCCAGAGGATGAATTATCATTTAGTAAAGTGCCCATGCCCTGATTTCTATCTAGAAATACTTGTTAGATGCCCATGCGAAAGATGCGGCGGCATGACAGTGATTTTACACCAAATTTTTAGGTTAATATTAGGCAGCAATCGTTATAATGAATATTTCCCAGATTTGTTTCTCGACAATAAGATTCATTCATTAAATTAGATGATGTCATTATAATTACATTTTGTAGTTGCTGTTTAGGGTAATTTTAGGAAGCCTATCCTCTAGAACACTAGGTTTCTATCTAATAATAATACTAACCATGATGAATGATGCTCTTGTATAAAACAATTACCGTAGCGATAGGGTAAAAACTAACTGTCGTTAAAATAACTTCCATATAGTCAAATCCAGTCTTAATATATGGTCACTAATCATAGTATGCTATTATATTGTATTATATATTATATATTTTAAATAATATACCAGAAGAAATAAGAAGTTTATTAGAATTAGTATTATTTTATCTAAGTATAGTCTTGTGATAGCCACATATCGTTATTTTTACAAGAATATAAAACAGTAGGTGTTGAAAAGTTAGAAAAAAATAGTATTGATTATTTCGGTAACTTAATAATAAAATGAATTTTATCTTATCGGTAACAATATTAAACAGTTCAATTTATTTTAGCATCTATCTACAACAACTGGTATTTAATCATAATAATTATTTCAAGTAATAAAAAGAGAATGAAAATTTGGTATCCAGTCCCCGGGAAGCAGTTGCGAAAACAGTTGAAGTCCGTTTAAGGACTCTACAAGAAATTATGTATAAAAAAAGTCATGACGAATGCTATTAACGTCGTCATTGTGGGCCAATACAAACCGGTTCAAGTTAGTAGTAAGGAACTTGAAACAAAACATTTGAATACATTGTGTTGTATTGTCTACTATCTAATTGTAATTATATAAATAATAAATACGTATTCAATAGAATTAGTCGCCAGATTTGTCAGACTCCTCAATTAGCTTACGTGTCATGTGTCGATGTCATCCATGTCTTGTGTAATAACCACTTGAACATCCGCGAATTATTCTGTTTTTTTGTTAATTTTTGCATATATTCTACTAATGGAACTTGTAACCTCCATACCCCGATAATTGTCACAATTGCTCTTGTGTCCCTTTTTTATGCATGGTTGGCAAGACAGTTTTTCGCTTCCGTATTTTACAAGTTCACCTGGGGCCGGAACTCTGCCATTTTTTAAAGTTTTACACACTTTCTTAATCTTTGCTAATGTTGGTCTTATTGAAGACGTTCTTATACCAACATTTGTCTATACCTTCTGTTTCAGTTCTATTGTCATGTTTCTAAGGAATCTCCTACTTTCTGTACGTTTTCTTCTTCCTTTTGGTTTTTTCGATTATCATTCTTCGTACTCTGGCTTGCGATTATTTGTACCTTAATTTGTCGTTTAAGGTTTTTGAGCTTAAGTATTTGTGGTAATTTCACCTTTCCTCTGCGGCTGGATGTATTTGTATTGCTTTATGTATTTGTATTCTTCTTCTATATCATTGAATTCCACCTTTTGTATTTTCTGACCCAGTAGGGTGTTATACAGTATTTTTGTACTTTCGTTTTTCAAGCTAATCGTGTTAAATATTAGTAGTGCTTCCTCGTTTGCCGGTTCTTCGTCTCGTTAAATATTGTCTGGGTTTTCTTTCGATTTATTAATTAAGGTTATTTTTCCTTTATCTTATCTTTCCTTTAGGTAGTGGTGACTCCCACAAGAGGGCACCTATTTGTACTTAAGGTCTATGCATGTTAATCGAGATTTTTGTCTTGTTATAATAAAGTCGATAATGCGTAATAAGTTTCTTGGTGACTGTATCCATGTGTATTTGTCGATCTCTGGATGTTGAAAATGACCATTTAGAACCATCAACTGACTTTGTTCGCATATGTCTCCCTCATTGCCTTTTCCTTTCTTCCCATTCTCAGTGTTCAAAAAGTAAGTCTTTATTATGGACTAATCTTAATCGCAACATTTCTTCCCAACACTTTGAGATTCATTCTTTTCATTTTTTCGTTAATTGGTTCCCATGTGGTAATGTACTTTCGCAACTTCCTGATGTCTTTCGTTACTCCATGTAGTACAATTCGTTTTCCTTTTTCTATGCTTGTTTTGTCCTCGTGGTTTTTCCATTGTGATTAGGTTTTTTAGGAAAAATCTTTTTTTTTACATAGAGCAGGGGTCCGCTGCTACAACCCTCCTCTTTTGCCCGGTCTTGGGATCAGCAAAGACAGCTTGAGGCTACTCCAGGCTGGATTAGTAATGTTGATAATGTTTACAATGAATCGTTTACAATTTCTTTCAAAATTGGAAGTTACATCGGTTGTCACATTTTCAATGAAATCTTTCATTTCTGTCGTTTACACCTTTTGTCTTGTTCTGTAATATACCTGTGTTTTTTTAATGCACAATTTTCTGCAGAATTCCTAAACAATTTCGTAGATAATTTCCACTTTCTATTTCATTTTCAAAATAGTTTATCAAATTTGAAATCACAGTTTTTGCTCTGTGACGCAAAAAACCAGAAAATTGCTTTTTATTGCTCATATTTCCCCTTAAAATTGTCGAAGTCTCAAAACTCGCAGCTCAAAGTCAAAGCTTTTAAGCCACTATAAATTATAAGCTTATCCTTTTTTCACGTCAAGATAGTATACGCCTGTAAAAGAAAACCAAAATAAGATCGGTTTTGACTATAGATATGTATCGTTAGACTAACATTCTCAAACGCATACGCTCTCTGTTCGCCTTTCCAGACTACCACCCAGAATTTTTTCCCGAACAGGACAAGAAGTCCTTGAGTTTGCAACCAGACTTGACGCAGACGGTACCCGCCTGTTACGAGTACCCTTACACCACCCCCGCCACGTCGATAACCAAATCGGCGTCGGAACATCATTATGACGTTCCCCATTTGGCTTCCGCTTCGGATATCCAAATGTCACCCGCGACAAGCTCGACTCTGGAATCGTCTAGCGGGAAACGGAGTCAATTGAGCGGGTGCACCAATCACTGTGAGTTATCTCAACATTTAACGAGGACGTCGCTTCACACTACGTTCTGTTCCAGCGGATTCTACGTACGAGGTAGCGACCGATTCCGTAACTCTGCCGCTGTCCGCTTTGCCGGCCGCTTACGCGGTGACACCTACGACCAGCGGCAACTATACCAGCGCAGCCGTGACTCACGCGGGCGCCTTCCTCAACCTCCCCGAGTCCGGAGTCAACCTCTTGGTCCCGGAAGGAGCGGTTTCCAGGAGTCGCAAACAAGAACTCTTCCTGTCGATACTCAACGAGGACTGCTTCAGGCCTAAACTGGCCGAGCACCTGACTCAACTGAGTCCGGTGGTCTCGTGCGGCCCCAACGTCTCCCTTAACAAGGCGGTCATCTTGAAACTACCCCACTGCGCGGAACTAACGAAGAACAACTGGTCGATCAGCGTCTTGCAGAGCGACTGCAGCGACTCCCAGTGGCAGAACGCGGTAACCCTCGGCCAGGAAACGATCAACACGATCGTGTTTTGCCAATTGGACAACGACGCCGCTTATTTGGTCACCGATTGCCTGTCGCGTTTCGTCATCGTGGGCAGATCCGTGAACGGCAACGCCATCAAGAGACTGAAGCTGGCAGCGTTCGCGCCGAAACTCTGTTTCCAAACCACCGTCGATTACTGTGTCAGGGTGTACATCTTGGAAGACACCGACAGTTCCATGGAAACCGTCTACGGGCAGGAAAGACGTCTGGGAGGGTACCTACTGGATGAACCGAGATCGATGCTGTTTCAAGACGGTGGCAACAACCTTTGCATGACGATGGAATCGGTATGCGACGGTTGGAAATCTAAACCGGGCTCAAACTACCAGGAGATACCGTTCATGCACGTGTGGCAAGCGAACAGCAACAGTCTCCATTGCTCGTTCACCCTGGAATCGTACGAGGTGAACCGGAATCTGAGTTTTAAGCTGAAAGTGAACCAGAAAAACTTCGAGTACCACCAGGTGTTCGACATCACGTGCAGAGACGACGTGTCCGATTCCAAGACCAAGTTTAACCACAACGAACTAGTGCCAAAAATAGCGTTGCAGCACGGTAGCGAGACGAGCCGATCGAGCGATTCGAAGAAGAGTGCCAAAAACTTGATAGTGACAGATAAGGGCGTGTCGACGTGCGACGACTTTACGTTTAGGTTATGTAAGCAAATTAGGAAGCAACTGTGCCACTGTCTCGACACTCCCGTACAAAGGGGCAACGACTGGAGAATGTTGGCACACGCGTTAAACGTCGACCGGTATATAAACTTTTTCGCGACAAAACCCTCACCGACAGACTGTATATTGGACCTGTGGGAGTCTAGGAACAGGAACAGTAACGCCTTAACCGAACTTAAGCAGATATTTAGCGACATGGAGAGGTACGACGCTGTGAATATTTTAGAAAATTGTTTGGGACCCAACTGGTTGTAAATCGTTAGAGACTGTATTTCCCTTTGACTTTCACGAACGACGCCGAGTATAACGAAACACACCGAAGCGGCCTAAAACAGGCACACGAGTACCGACAACGCAATGATTTACTTCTCGTTAACTGCCCAAGCTTACAAATAGATTATAATTGTGAAGCTAACCGAAGCGGTAATACTAGTTTTACACTGACAATAACTTCATGAAGTGTAAGGGTTTAATTCCTTGATAAATATGGAGGTTATGTTTTACTTTGTCAGTTGTTTTAAAACAGTTTTTATTCATAACAGTCCTTAGTTGGTTGAAATGTTTAAGCCCCAGTCTATTCCACAAAATTCTATAAGAATTAGAAAAATATATGCTGCCCTTGCTCTTATTGTTGCTGGAATTTTTTTTGTACCTATGTAACATCGAAAGAAGATAATTAAGATAAAAAAAGAGGTTCAATTTGGCCAAGAAGAGTTTACAAGTAGGGATGAACAGTTTACAGTAGTTTTTGAGGATATCAAATAAATTACCGTACCGTGTGAATGCTCAGATCGAAAAAATGAACATAAAGTTTCGACGCGTGAGACTTCTAGGCATAAGATTTCTAGTCACAGGTGAAAATACATTATACTGGGGGTCTCACACAAGGTGTTACCAAGAAATTTGAAATAGCATATTCTATTTATCTACTTGTATTCTTAACATGTATTTATGATAAAGCCAAATGCACTCTACTGGTATATGTATTTATATAATATATATGTTACAGTTAATGCGCAAACTTGAGTAGTTTGTAAACTAGCTGTGCAGTTTACAGTCTAACCAAACTGTTGGCTATTTTAATAGAAAACGCATTTTCATCCAACTTGGCTAATTTAGTTGAAATTATTTAGAAAACTATATTACCTGGTTAGTTTATAAACTAATCGTTACAGTCTAGCTAATATAAAACCATAATTTATAGTAATACAATATAGCCGAACATTAGGCTACTTTAGAAACTTACCAACCATGGTTTATGATTTACATACTAGCTGGAATAGTTACCCACAAAATGCTAACCTTTGTTTTAAATTTGTTTATTATATAAAAATTTGTGTGTTTCTTAAATTATTGTATAGCAGGTAGAAAGATTGTTTAGATATATGGCACATCAACTAAGGCGCCAAACAATTAAAAGTATGAAGCTAGCACTAATAATAATAATAATAATAATAATTCGCTGTTACAGGTGTATCCCAGAGCAATGCTTTTAATTTTTTTGTTCATTCAATGTTTTTTACACTGACGCCTTACATAACCTTGTGATGAACCTGAAACTAATCAAAAGCACTACTAATGCTTATTTCTGTGTCTTTTTTGAAATAATCGGGAAACAAGAAATTTTGCTTCCAAAAATCAATTCGTGAAAATATTTTTTCCCAATTACTTCCCGACAATCTTTTCTTATCTTTTCTGTCCTTTGTTTGTTGTGTGTGTAATGTGTAATGTAAACATAAATCATCTTCTTTGCACATTGAGCAGCTCTGTAAGCTTGTACTGTTTTCTATTTCTCCTATTTTATTTGGTCATTAGAAGGACTAGTGCTGTTAATATAGGAAACTCCCATTTGCAGTTTTTTCTTACCTTACTTTTTTCTTTTTTAACTGGCATTTCTTACATCCGTCAATAAACAATATTACAATTTATTGAGATATATTTGAACATTTTTGATTCATTAGCTTTGTTGTAGCTTGTCTTTCACCGGGTCCAGTTGACTGATGACATTCTTTAATAATATCAACCACATCATTCATGCAAGCTGTTATTTTGCCAGAAACTCGTTTTAAATCAAAATGCTTATTCCAATAATAATCAGATTTTTGCATAGTTGATAGTCTAGTGACACGTAAGTTCATTAATCTTTCGACACCACTTTTGTATAACTGCTGTCATAATGAAGTTTGGAATGATTTGCTTCTTTACAATTCAGATTTAATAACGTAGCGTTAAATGTTTCTTTGTGGTCCATTTTAGTATACTAAAAGTACGTTTAAAATGTAAACAACACACCCTCATAGTATAAAAAAAAGAAAAGTACTAACATAACCTAAATTTATTTCTCCATTAGCCACAGAATTGGTTGGAAATGGTTTGGCTATTTTGTATTATTATAAATTATGGTTCTTATGTTAGCTAGACTGCAACGGATAGTTCATAAAGTAACCAACTAATACAGATTTCTAGTAAATTTATATTAAACAAACTCTTTATTAGTTTATAAAATAGCCGATAATAGAGGTGAAAAAGCGTTTTCTATTAAAATAGTCAACAGCTTAGTTACCTTGTAAACTACACAGCTAGTTTACACACAAATCAAGTTTACACGTTAGCCGCAACTTATATAATACTTAGTACAATCTAGGTATATTGTTGGAATGTGCATAATGGTACGGATCTTCTACAGGTGTTGTACTAATCAAAACCTTATTTAGATGTTTTTAACAAAGTTTTGCCGAAATAAAAGTTTTAGATTTTCACTCACTATTTGGAATTGACTGACATTTAATTGGCAATTTTATCTCTGCTAGATTGAGGTATTTTGAAAAATTGAAAATAATGAGTTTCTATAATTTATTTATTCTTGAATATATTCAATTCTTGCTAAAACTTACGTGGATAAACTTTTCATATAGGAAATGCTTGATAGTCATATTTTATTTGTAACATTTGAAGCTATTTTAAGTTTGTCGAAGTTTACTACTTTTTTGAAATAAACATCAAAACCTTCTTTGGAAGAAAAATGTCTTTCAAAGCCGGACCGCGAACGTACACACGTCTTATACAAAATTGAAGTTACAACCATCGACAAATTATAACCTATTGGTTAGTTGCTATGCCCTTTGAATATAGATAAAGCAGATCGGTTATATACTATGGTTATTTACTAGAATTATTTATCCAATTGATTGTTAATCATATATATTTTTTTATTCAGCTTGAAGTTGTTTTGAGCGTCTTGTTTAGTAGTAGCTAATAGCCGTGTTTTGAAAATTTATGGAATTTGAATCATGATATAATTTTATTCGCTCCCAAATGCATTTCATCTTGGAGGCTTTTCCACCCACGATTTTTAACATCACATGAGACTTTTGTAATGTAATAAAAAAACTAAGTGCTAAAAATCTACTCAAAGAAATTTTCTTAGTAGAATATTTGGAAAATATTCCGAGTATATGAATAGGTGGAATAGATTATGTATAAACTTTTTAGGGATTTTTTCAGAAGTACTATCATTGCTGATAAAAAATATTCGTTTCTTGTATATTATGCGAATATACTTAGCGCGTTCTAAGACCTATACACTGAAAAGTATTTTAGCAGCATATGTGACGTATACGTTATATGTTATATGGAAATGTGAGACACCCGGTACACCTTTCGAATATCAGAGTCTCCTACTACCTATTTGTAGCAAAAGTTGTAATTATGTTTTATGTAATTATGTTTTTTGTAATTATGGTTTATGGTAAAAAAATGGTTACATGCGTGGGATTGACGTAAAAAGTTCGCTAATTTATTTGACTACTGTTTGATATCAAAGTGGTTCATTGCACTTGTCAAATTTGTTTGTTTGAACCAATTTCAAGAATTAATTCATGAAGAAATTGTCACTGTAAGCCTAGTATAAGTAAGGAGATGCTGTGCAATCCATTTATTTAATAACGAACTGTATTTGTATTAGATGTATAGTGGAGGGAAAAATCTTTCCTGCATACCTATAGTCACTTGTTAAGTATAGGCACTAAACTGCGAACATCTGCTTAAGGAATGTACGAAGTTATAAGCGGTACGATAAAAAAAAGCATTTATATACATATTATACATATACACGTAGAGTTTTATACAAAAAAATCAAAAATGTAGTTTTCTAGGTATTTTAGAAATGTTTTGTACAAAGCAATCACATGAATATATATATATATTCCTATGTATTTATAACTAGAAAACAGTTCTCCGTTGACATGTAATATTATGTATTTTAGATTCTAAAGGTAATGTATATAATATGGTCAATATATAAGATTTTTATGTAAGTTTGGTTTTTTATTTCTAGCACACCTATACCGAAGCTGGGGTCAGTTGCTTATTTTTTTGACCTTAGAGTTTTTAGAATTAAATAATATCTTTTATTACAAGTATCTTTTATAAATTTGCGGCTTTAATCATCATCATTGTAATTTGTCGTTTTTTGTGCACTGGCCAATTAAAGATTTTGCCGCTGTTTTACTTCGTTTTTCTTTTCTATTTATCATATAACTCGACCCATCTCTCTTATCATCTTTTTTTTTTATTTTCACGCCTATTTTCTGTGCTTCCTCTTCCCCTCTTCAGAAGAAGGAGATCGAAATCTCGTAGAAAGCTCGAAAGGCAGAGAGCAAATCTAACTTGTACTTTCTAACGAATTATATTCTCGATCCAGTAGTGTTCCTTTTAGAAAACATTTACTAATGCATAAAATACCTTATAACATATTAAACAATTATCACTATCCTAATGTTACAATATGGATAAAGACTTGGTGACATTGGTATAACTGATTCTATACTTTGCTGTGGACTTACAGGAGCAATCTTTAATCATATAAATGTAATGTTGATATAGCAATTACCTTTTAATTTTATTACCACATAGCAACAAGTGAAGTGCAGGATCAGATCATTTTTCTCTTAGGACTAACAAGAAAAATAAATAAAAAAAAGTCAAAATGTTATACTTTTTTTTGTCCACAAAGTAGCTAATTGTGACCCAACGTTGTAAAACTGAGTCCTGTTTTAGTAAGATATCATTAAATACATGCTTCATAGCATACACCAGAAGTTAAAATATATATAGAAATATAGATATTTTTTTAAATAAAACTTTTCTAATACTAGATGTTTGATTGTTGCACATTAAGGATTCGAAAGAAAGTATTTTTCACACCGAAATTCTTGTTTTACGTGACTTTTAACAACAGATAGGTTAACCTCCGTTCTGCATGCATCATAGAAGTTTTGTTATATCTTTTCTTTTATTTGTTATTCAATTCTTAAACGTTTTATTATGTTTCTGACATAAATTTTATTAAACGTGAAAGTGTAGTGCGACGAGTTGTGGTTTCCACCAAATCCCGCTACATACGTAATGTCCCAACTTGAGCCTGGGGTTTCAGTATGTCCACTAACTCATTGGCTTTTAGATTGGAGTTAGTGCTTTTGTGATCATTAAAAATTGTACTTTTCTGGTAACATGTGAGTGTAGCGATATCGAATGACGTAACTCGGCATTACAGTTTCCTGCAACAAGTTTCTGGACATTTTAAGATATTTCTAAAAGTTAAAATTTCTTTTCTGGTAAATACGGACATTCCAGTGGCCTGGTGTTAAGATTTACTCATTTTTTCTGGTTTTCAACGCAACGTGCCCGGTCCTTAAACGAAAAGTGTTATTCGAGACATCACACGCATTTAAACTGCCCGTCTCTTATTTATGCCTTATAATCTTCGATCGTCCAAAATGACTCTAGACAAAATTGCTGACCCTGGCCAATTTCTCCAAATGCGGCTCACAGGTTTTCTGGCAGGTCAGAAGAAGACGCCGAAGCCATCACTGTCTACAAGGATTGTTTGAACATTAGTGACGACAATGCTGTGAAAGTTTTACGCAAGCTACTAGATGGCTCAGCTGCATCTAGTAGCTGGTATCAAGGTACTAATAAATCAAACATCTTATGGGCTGAAGTTTCGGATGCATTACGTGATGCTCTTGGCTTTAACAAACCAGTACAACAAAGAATAAACCAACAAATCTGTTCCTAAACCTGACCTGTGCACTGCTTTTGAAATTGTACTCCTTTGCCGAACGAGCACAAGTTAGAAATGGTTTATAGAGCTGCCTCGATACAGTTTTCGTGATTTTCTAAAAATGATCGACAAGTGTAGAGCAATCGAAGACAGCCTTGCTGAATTTAACCCGAAGTTGAATTCCCCATCCTAAGTCCAGAAGCCCAAGCCCAAGCTTATGGACATAGTTTATTTATTTATTTATTTATTTATTTATTTATTACAAAGGTGCCCTAACATGAAGAACTAACTTCACAATTTACAAATACACACTAACAATTATACCATTATTTAATTAACAAAGTAAAACTTATAAGTAGGTACCTACCTATATCTACGATAAGCAGAAAATAATAACAACAGTAAAGGACAGTCAATCCTACTATTAATAATATTATGCAAAAATATAGCACTGGAGATAATTCTTCTAACAGATAACTTCAGTACATGGTAGAAATTAAGACTAGCTTCATACGAATGAGTTAGTAAGTTACGGTTAAATCTAAAATTTAAATGGAAAACAAACTTTTTTTGTATTCTCTCGATTCTGTCTATATATTTATGATACTGAGGACTCCATATCACACCGCCATAGTCAAGGTGAGATCGAACGTAGGAATTGTATAGAATGATAAGCGATTTGTGATCCTGAAATTCCTAGCTAACTCTTAATATAAAACCTAAATTTTTATAATGTGGATATCAAAACTTAATTTTACATCTATAGTTATTCCAAGATCCCTAATCTGCTCTACTTTTTTTATTTTTACACCATTGAATGTGTAGTCAAAGTTTATATCATTTATCCGCCTGCTGAACTTAAGACAGCAACATTTATCAATATTTAAAAATAGACGATTTTTCACACAGTATTCATAAAAACGATCAAGATCTTCTTGAAACTTATGACAGTCGTTGAGGCTTTTCACGGGCGCGTATGATTTGTGATCATCTGCGTATGATGCTGATTTAGCAAAAAGAAAACATTTACTGACATCTGCGATAAACAGTGAAAATAACAATGGTCCCCCTTGAGGAATTCCAGATGTAATGCGGGTCGTTTGGGATTTTGCAGAATTCAATTCTACAAACTGAGTCCGAGGACTGATGTAGGATTGAAGAATTTTATAAAGACAACCGTGTACACCGAAATTTTTTAATTTGATCAACATTGTTGGGTGGTGAACCTTATCAAAAGCTTTTGAGAAGTCGGTGTACACAGCATCTATCTGCACCCTATTATCTAACGCCTCAGAAACATCCTGGACATATAGTGAGAGATTAGTAGCAACCGACCTACCCCTAAAAAAACCATGTTGTGTATCTCCAAGAACATGTTTTAATTTGAAAAATAACTCATTGGTAATTATAGCTTCCAGCATTTTCCCTGGAACGGAAAGAATAGATATAGGTCGGTAGTTTCTGACGTCAACCTTGCTGCCACTCTTGTGCACAGGTATTATTTTGGCACACTTCCAAATAGTTGGAAACTGCCCTTCAGATAAACTTTTATTGTAAATAATAAAATGTGGCTGCACTAAAGATTCAGCACATGATTTGAATAATATCGGGGGTAGGTTATCAGGTCCAGGGCCTTTATTTATATCAAGCTTACTTAGCTGGATCCTGATTTGGTCCTCGGATATGAAATTTAAAACAACAGTGTCACATGGCGGTTCTAACAACGGGATTCTCGAAGGAGTTGTATCAGGTTCATAGACAATCGAAAAAAAATCAGAGAATGCTGCACAGATATCCGCATTAGCATAAAAACTACGATTTTGATACGTTACTGATTTTGGTATGTTTTTTGATTTTTTTTATTATTTACAAAGCTCCAGAATGATTTCACATTATCTTTCAGATTACTCTCAGTGTTTTTAACATAGTTTTTGTAGTCTGTGCTTATTGCAGCTCTGACCTTCCTTCTCAAATTAGAGAATATGACGTAATCAACAGGATTGTTGTACTTTTTCCATCTTTGGTGTAGTTTATATTTTTCTTTAATAAGCGCTCTCGTACTTGGAATGTACCAAGTATGAAATTTATTATTTACTTTTTTCTTCGGAACACTATCCATGACCACCCCGTAAACCCTTTCATAGAAAATATATACACAGTCCTCAACTTTCAAGTCTTTAAAAAGATCCAACCACGGAATACGTGACAGCTCTACGTTTATTACGCCATAGTTTGCATACCTGTATTTCAATTTCTCAAAACTTTCCTTTAAGTGATTCCTGTATGTTTGTATCAATCAAAATATCAATACATTTATGTTGAGTAACTCTTTCCACTACAAAAGGGTCCACAGACCTCGTCACGCTAACATTTTTAAAATTACTAAAGACCAAGTCCAAAAATCCTGCATTATCATTATTGAATTGATCAACATTAATTAAATTGAAAGAATCAATGAGTGACTCACCATATAATCCAGATATCTCTGAGGGTACGTAACAACTATCGCCACTATCGAATATCCACTTTACTTTCGAAGCATTGTAATCGCCCAAAATAACACATTTTTTTGCAGGACACATCTGCACAATACTAGAAATTTTATTTAGGTGCGCATTGAGATTTTCAACACTAGATTCAGGAGGAGCATATACACAACACAGCAGAATAGACACAGATGCTTGCAGCTTAATTTCCAACCACAGATCCTCAAAAATCCCATCACAGCTCCAATCAAAATGTGCTTCTGATTCGAACTTTTTCGCGACTGCAATAAAAACACCCCCACCATCTTTTTTTTGATCTAAGTAGATCTCGATCCAACCTAAAAACTTCGTAATAATTTGTATCAATGAACTCAGAGTCAAAAATATTATTATTGAGCCAAGACTCAGTAACACAGAAAACATCCGCTTGATCACTTAATGTAGATAAATAAAACTCTTGCAATTTTGTTCTCATCCCACCCACATTCTGATATTTAATTTTAAACGCCATTGATAAAAAAAAACTAGAAAAAACAGTATATTAAATTTACGTTAAAATTTCACACACAAGGTCATTTCAGCATGTTTTTAGATAATATTTGTATCACTTTATCCTTATGGTTCAAGTATATTTTGCAGTCAAAAGTCCAGCACTTGGCTCCTGGATTTTTTCTGCAAAAATCGCGGGTTTTCTTGAATAACCCTTTATTTTCAAATGTCAGCTGCTCATTAATGTATATAGCCGAATCATTTCGGGATAATCCTG